ATATGAGAATGGGGCCAGGAAGAATTTGTGGACTGTGACTGAGATATGAGCACATAGTTGGTAGCTGAAGTCAACAGAAAAGAAACCTATGGGACAACTAGTAAAGCAGAAAGACACAAGGATCAAGAACAGAACCTTAGGGAAAAGCACTTTTAAAGAGCAAGAGTTGAAGAGGAGACTGATAAAAAAACAATGTCATCTTAGTGGTAGGATGGAATACCCAGAAAGCACAAACTCACAGAAATCAAGTGAGGATGAGTTTTAGTGATGAGGAATGGTCTTGTACACAAAAAGCTAAAAATAACAATAGACCTTTTTTTGGGGGTGGGCGGGTATAACGACTTTTGCATATATTGTTTAAGTAATGGTGAAGGGGAACTTATTTACAGTAGGTTGAAGAGTGAATAACAGGTGAAAAAAAAGGGGTCATCCAAAGTGGAATCTTCTTTCTTAGAGCTGATTTTGGGAGTTGCAGTAAAAGTTGAAGAAGAATCTAGGCTCAATGAAGGAATTTTTGTTTATTTATTTATTTTTTTTAAAGGTACTGGGGTTTGAACTCAGGATCTTTTGCTTGCTAGGCAGGCAATCAAACCATTGAGCCATACATCCAGCCCCTTAAAGAAGAATCTTGAGAATGACTATAGGAGAGGCTCAAGGGGAATGCACTACAGAGAGAAGCTGAAAATAAAGGGAGAAGTATTAGTGCTGGTAAGGTAAGAAAGCGCACAGAAACGGGCTACCTTCAGGAAGAACTTCTCTGCAATCATTTTTGCTTGTGTTTGAAGTCCATTCCTGCTTTTAGCACCACTGTCATTCCATATAGGGATCCATCTGCATTACTCATTCAATTCCAGGAGCAAATCTACCTAAAACAAACATTGCACTGGGAGCGAGGAGACCTGGATTCTAGTCTCTCATCTTGTCCCAGTGAGTTTTAGGATCCTGGGCAAATCACCTGACTTCCATGACATTCAGGTTATTTATTTTTAAACTATAGCAGTTGAGTAGGCTCTTTCTAATTCCATTTTTCTA